TATATTTAATCCAGTATATATACCAGATACTAATTTTTTTATGAGCCTGGCCCATAGGAGGGCAGTTGCCTGAATAGAAATGTAATTGATCTGCTGTTCCGCATAAGCAAGAGTAGGTGTATTTTATGCATAGATGACTAGTTCTGTTGTTAGTTGAGAGAATGTTTCTGGGTTTGGAGTAAGGATATGTTATCTGATGATGTTTTCTTCAGCTTGAGAAATTAGTGCAGTAAGGCTTCCAAAGTTGTTCATATACTTGCTCATTAATTTTAAGTAGTAGTTCAATATTAAAGTATTATTTATAGTCAATGCAGAATCAACTAATTTAATGATAATTATAACAAAATTTTTCAGTTAGAGCAGCAGTAGGGTTTAAATCCTATAGTAATTTGCTGGCCTGCAGCCTATTATTTGACGTGTTTTTCTTGATTCATCTTATTGTTTACTATATAGCTAATTATATTATAAATCAAGAATGATATTTTTGAATGGCTGGCATTTTCAATATAGTTTTTTAAACCCTGCTCTGAATATTCTAACTTTAATCTATTACGAACAATTACTATAGACAGCGAATAAGAATATCATTTACTACCGCTACTAATGTAAATCAAGATTGATATTTGGTGATCACTATTTACTATAGGTCATTATCTATAATGAAATGTCTTTTGTTTTGGATTTTTTTTGGGTTATAAGAATAATTGGCACTATGAACTATAAACAATAGTGATCATGATTTATAAGACATGTATACAATTACATACTCAAACTTTTTTCTTGGTAGAATCATTGAGAGTATAGCAAATTCAATTAATTAGATATCAAAATTGGTTACGTAGCAACTTTATTTAAAAAATAACAGTAACTATATATATAGTAATTCATGTATATGTCGATATATGAATACATGAGAGTGAAAACCTGTAACCAATTATAGTTAATGTGTTTCCAGATTTTTACTTTTAAATATGTATGATTATAATTATAAACAAAAAGACAGTGTGGATAATCCAAAACAGGAATCGAGGTAATTTTATATTAGCTACCTGATAATCATTTATATATTTTAATTCAAAACCGTAGAATTTCTAAGGTAATTTGCAATTGTCTAAGCCGATATCGATATTGTAATTGATCGTTTTAATTAAAGTTTATAGATAACAATGCATATATTGATACTATATATGTACAGTATATATCATAATTGTTATTTTTAAATATAATATTTCATTTGCTTTTTAATTTATTACTGTTCAGTGATTTATTATGCTGAAATGATCGTGTTTATAATTAATTGATGAAATAATTGTGTCTATTATATTGGAATAATCGTACCTATAATTAAATTATATAATACAAAATTTAATATAAATATATACCATTATTGCTTAAAAGTTAAATTCTTATAGCTTGATTAATTAAACCCAGTTTTTTTCAAATAAAATCTTTCGTGTAAACCAATTTTTTTTTAAATTTTACCATTCACTCAACATAGCAATATCAAACCACTTAGATCGTTCAAATAAAACTGAATTAGAAATTAAAACTTCTGAACTAGGAAATTATCCCAAAAGTTCTACAATTGCTTATAAAGAAACAAAAAATAATATTACGCACGGTCATTTAATTATTTTATTGAAGCAGAAGGTTTTTATCTAAATGCTTCTAAACTTTGTTATACATACCTCCTAAAAAGTATCCAATTCCTAATAACTATTCTGTGAAAACTAGTTGGGGACATGGTGAAAATCAGCAAACAGTTTAGTATAATATAGAATATAAAAATGAAAACCCAGAATTTCAAATTTGATTTAGTATTTTTTTTAAATATGAAATCAAATCAGATATATCAACAACTATGGCGCAACAAACTATGTAAAGGCTATAAATAAAACGAGTCGATTATCTGAACTATTGCTCTTTGGATTACAGCTTCAAATACTTAAAAATATTAGAAAATCTCGAATTAGACAATTCAATTAAACCTGTAAATCAAAATTTAATTAAACGTATAAATCAATATTCTGAGTCAACACTTAATAGATATGCAAAAAATATTGCGATTATGATTAAAGATGACTTTATTCAAAGTTCTATATTTAAACATCATAATCAAAAGGATTTTATTTCATTAAAGTCATTAGAATATACTGTCAATAATCAAAATTATTATCTTAGTTTTGGAGCAGTTGATTTCACACAAAAAGAAAATAAGATCTTAAATATAATTAAAATAATAGATTCAAATTATATTTCTTATGACGCTTATCGAGGTTTAGCTGCAATAGATTATTATCTGCCACGTGAACATATTATTGCAATTGAATGGAATAACTTAACTCAAAAGATAACTCAAGATGTTTCAATTAAACTTGTTGATATGGATATAATAGATAGTTTAGAAATTATTGAAGAATCTAATGCTGATAATGATAATATAGACTTTAATAAAGTTCTAAATTCAATAGGTACTGGTGGACAATGTAACTGTAAAGAAATACTCAAATACCTAATTTTTTTTTTAGTACGTGAAAATATATTATTGATTTGTGATCCAGTAATACATTTACGAATTTCCGGTAATGATCGTAATGTAGGTCAAAAAGTTAAACATGTGATGATTATTCTTATGATTTTTAATAATCGAGAACACCACCACATACCTAGTTATCACCATACTATTGCATTATATCTAGGAATTGAAAAATACGAATCTCTTGAAGTTATATTAAGTCCATTTTTCAACGATCTTAAAGACTTTAAAACTAACAGATTAGAAGTTGATGGTATTTTTTGACAGTTCGAGTTATATTTTAGTAGTGATTGGAAATTTCTTGGGGTGGTGACATATATTACGTAATATTATTTTACTATAGAGGTACCCCCTCCCCACATAGGTCAATTCTGATTGGCTAATTTAAAAAAATTATAATAAATATAATATTATTATATATAATAGTTTAAACTTGAATAACTTTTGATCTACTGAACCAATCTGGATGATTTAACTACC